TATAAACCATGTTAAAACATCAGACTTGATATCTGAATAGCGGATGCTCATAGCACATAACAGAACATATGTTCCAAAGCCTCAAGATGAAGGAAGGAGGCATTGTTTATTTTAGAGGAAACCATAAGGGCACATTATAAGATACATAACAATTACTAATAAAATTTCAAGTATCAAGATTCTAGAGGCACTAGAGTCTCAGTACTCTGAAGAATCTACATTTGGAAATAATGATTCTAGTATTGAGTAATCTATACATAAGCCTCTATTAAACCAAGATATGTTAGTGTATATGATCCTTTTACTGACTTTAAGTACAAATCCTCTCATCCAGAAGATCTTATCTTGGTAAGTAAATGAGATCTAGTAATGACTAGGTCATCATTAACAAATGATTATTCCTTTTGGGACTAATATATATTATTAAACCATCTTTCATAGACGAGGTTCGATGTTATGGTGGATGAAAAGTTATCATGCAAGAGTGTTAGTACTATGGTTTTGTGATTGGCTAAATTTTGTCAAAACATGGTTGGTCATAACAGATATGTTGTTATGTGATTTTTAACTAGATGTCGAAGACAATGTTATGACATCTTGATCTGGTACAACAGATGCTGTTGTTTGGTATTTTCTTGACAAATTTAATTTGATTTTCTGAGGTTCCATTTGGATATATCTTAATTATTTTCGCATGTCAATAATATGTAATCTGGAACAAGTGAATAAAATCTCCACCAGCATTAAAGTTTCTAAATTTGGTGGTTGAGAGAATTTAGAAAACTTGAAGATTTGTTCCAAAGATTTAAGGACAGATTTTCTGCAGTAGTCAACGTATGGATCAAGGAATAATTGGGCAGAGAATTTGAAACCCATGGATAAATGAAGCTTATAAAAATAATACCAAGACCTAGGGCAAGTCAGTTCTTGTTTTGTTTAGTTAAAAATATAAGGGTTTAAGTTTTGAAAGTCTCGTGTGTTCCTTGTGGTGTAAGTCACCCTTTGTATCTTTTGATACATTATGGTTGACATAATGTTCTCACTCAGAAGCCTTTAGATAATGAGTTGAGTATTGTTCTTGGTTAAAGCTTTTAAGCAAAACCAAATTTTGTTCTTAGTTAAGATTCTTAACTAGGTATTGTATTTGAAGTGTAATCTTCTATTAGGTTTATCCTTGTACTAGTTACTGTGATTATAACCGGTCTATAGACTGCCATTGGGATTGGGATAGGTCTTTTATCACTGCGGTGATTGGAAGTGAGATGACGATTTCTCATATCTAGGAGGTTCCTAGGTAGAAGTTGCATTGGGTAGGAATTAAGTGATAAGTTGTAAACTGAGATTGTTTAGGCTTATAATTAATACTACTGATAGTGAATTTCCTTCCTGGCTTGATAGCCCCCAGAGTAGGTGAGTTGTACTGAACTGGGTTAATAATTGACTGTGTTCTTTATCATTCTGCATTTAAATTCTGCATATTATTTCAGTTTGATATTGTTATAACACTCTGTCTACAGATGTTGTAACATCTATCCTGACATCATGTTCAGATGTTGGAAACATCAATATGAGCATGGTGTGTATCAATGCCAGAATTTCAAAGAGGAACTCAATAAATTTAAAATAAATGATTTATTGAATATAATTCCTACACCTAAAGAAAATAATATTATTTGAACAAAGTTAGTGTTAACAAGCTCAGTGAAAAAGAATAAGTGATAAGAGACAAAGCTAGACTAACAGCTCAAGGTTGTAGTCAATAGGAATGTATTGATTATACTAAAATATTTTATCATATAGCTATATTAGAAGTTATTATTATGGATCTATGTGTTATGTATATATAACTTTCTGTTGGTTTTGATGATGCCAATTGATGACAACTGTCAAGAAAATGATAACTCCATAAGTCAAACAAATTTTAGGTGTTAATAGTTCTCTTCAAGAGTTCTTTGTGATAACTGTCAAAGGGGGAGTGAACTATGAATGTGCAACAGTTGCTGAAGATAGTATTTGGTCAATAAGAATAACATATCTCAAGTCATATCAGTCAAATGATTGAAGTTCCAATTGACTTGTTAAATAATCGTTAAATCGAGTAGAAGGATCTTGAAGTCCAAAAGTTATGAAAATGTGAAAGTGTGAAAGCTTTCTTGGTCTTACACTTAGCGTTTTAGAGTGATCAATTTATTGTAAAAAGGACAAGAGTAAGTCTTGAAATACTAATGCAATCACATACACACATCAAATCTTTTCAAACCTCTTTTTTTTATCAAACTTATTAAAACCTATCCAGGAAAGTATGGAATCAACTAAGTGTTTCTAATCAAATAGAAAAACTAACTCACCGCTTCGATTAAGGTTTTGGTCAAATCGATTAAAGAAAAGAGAAACACCTTTTAATTGATTAGAAAAGTTATAAATAAATTAAATTATATAGTAGTTTTAGGGTTTCCTTAAGTTGTTGTTTTTAAGGATGTTTTAATCAATTAAAAGATGTCAAAATCGATTAAATTATTTATCCAACCCATGAATTATTTTCTTTTTTGAGAAATTTTTTTCTATATAAAGGAGATTTCTCCTCATTTCATTTCACACCAAATTTCTGAATAGAAAACTCTTTATTATTTTTCCTACTCTCTTTCTCTTTGAAATTATTCTTTCATTAGAGTTTTGTAGTGTTGAAAGACTGAAAAGTCCTTACAAGAGTTGTGTTGTATTGGTGATGTTCTTAAATTGTTTGATTCAACAATGTGATTCTCTTAAGTAATATCTTTTGTAAAAAATTTGAAGTTTGTAAAAAATTTGAAGTGTGACATTCTCGTGAAGGACACTCTACAATGAGGGGAAAAATAGATCTACATGTTCCTTATATGATTATTCATTTTATTGTAGTTGGTTCTTCGCCTCTAGGGCCTTACGGGCATGTCACATCAATATATAATAATGTTTTTTATAATAGTTAAGAAATCCAGAGACTATGTACAGAGTTTCTAAAGTGTTATTAGTGAATATCCGACTGACTTTTACAACTCGATAACTATTATTTGTTCAACACTTTAATAAATGTTCAATATTACAAAACATTAAGAAATTATAGCATTTAATAGAAATACATCGACAATATAAAACAGTTTTACACTATCAATAAAATCAAAACCGTTAATTTTTGTAGAAGTTTGATTTTTCTTTAAATCACATAAAATATTTCTTTTTAAGGATTGTGATACACTAACCGTGTAAAATATTTTACACAGACAGTTCACTATCTTTAAACTCTAAATTATATTTACTTGTCAATATTATTTATTAATATTTGCGTAGTATTATATATAAAAAATACACATGTAAGAGAAAATCATTAATGTATGGTTAATAGTGTTTTAATTTAAAACGGTATAAGAAAAATTTACTAAAAAGATAAATAGAATAAAAAATACATTAAAAATATTTATACTTATAGACATAAACGCAATTTAAAGAAGGGTGAAAATGTTGGTTACCATTAGAGATGACAATTTGTATATGTTAACGGGAATTTCTATAAAGATATTTGTTCGAAATATTGAAGTTGAAGATTTTTTATTCCATAGAGATGGGGATGAAGAGAAAAGTTCTCCTGATGACACTTTTGGGCGGGGATTAGGAAAGTATCCTCCGCTCCGTGGATTTCCTGACTCCGAGCATATTATTTAACTTTTATATTTTATATATTATATAATCTATAATTATATAATTTTACATAAAAAAATATTAATGTATTAGAAAATGATGAGTCATTAGTTGATCATTTTATTTTTATGTTTTATTGTATAATGTATTATTTCACTATCCAAGTACTCAATCATATGAAAGTGCATCCAATACATAGAATATATACATCGTCTCTTCCTTTTCTTTTCTCAATTATCTTCTTATCCTCCATTAATCATCTTCTTTGTTCTCATCATCACAACCGTCACTCTTCTTTATTCATTGTGCTTATGGTAATTACTCTTAAAATTCATTTTACTTCCATTAATAACATATTTTTAATTAAATTAATAAATGAGTAGTTATGGATTTATCACACTCACACATAATCAACTACTTCTGGTGGACGACAGCAGTACTGTGGTAGTAAATTAGCGGAAGTATGGTAGCAATAAATTGTGTTAATATTTATTATTTTTTTACAAAAAACATATTAACAACAATGGGTGTTTTTATTTTTTTGTTATTAATGCAATATGTATTTTTATTTTATAAAAGTAAAGATGCGAAATATACGTGTTTTAAAAAAACTAAATCCTAATGTCATAGTTTTGATCGATATAAATTTCTTAAGATTCGATCTGTGTGGATCTTCGTGGGGATCTGTGAGGATGAAGAAAAACATTCCTCCATAGGAGAGATTGGAGACGGAAATGGAAAATAAATTTGAAGACGAGGAAGAAAATGAAGAAACATCCTTCGAATATTCTCTGCCCCGTTGATATCCTTAGTTAGCATACAACTCTATTTTAAGTCTCAAAAAATAAGGCAATATTATTATATTAAAAGTCCATGGTTTGGATTTCCTTCAATTTTATGTTAACCAAGAATTTGATAGGACTAAATAAGAATCTAAATCCCAAAATAATAGGCTAAAAATAATAAGAGTAAAAAATGAGAGCTAGAGGACATAAAAAAGACGACTAAGTCATAAATCAAATCCAATGAATGACACATTTAGTAATAATAGTGCCATTTGTTAATTTGTGAGTGATCGTTGGCGAATCTAACATCTTTGTTTGATAATTAGTATCAAATTAAATTAGCTAATCATTATTTCATAATTACCTTTTCATCGTGAGAATTACTTGTTTTTCGTCACCTTGCACCTCAAGATCTTTGTTGCATGAGGAAACATGTACTTCTATGTTAGATAACAATCATATAATAATCTTATGAGGTTTATTTTGCTAGGTTTACAATGATTTAATAGGGGAAAAAGTGTATTGCTTATTAAATCCGCAAAAATGAATGACTTGATTTCAAATTCTTTCAAAAAATACACTGATTTCAAGGAAGATGCGTACCTTGAGGAGGATGTGGAGGCAGGGAATAGAGAAACTGTGAATCTTGACAAGTTTTTTGAAGATGTTGAGAATATAAAAGCAGACATGAAAATAATTGAAATATATTACAGGAAATTGCAAGAGGCTAATGAAGAAAGTAAAACGGTTCATAATGCGAAAACAATGAAAGATCTTCGCGCCCGAATGGACAAAGATGTAGAACAAGTCCTCAAATGTGTCAAAGTAATCAAAGGAAAACTCGAAGCATTGGATCGTTCGAATGTGGCGAATAGAAAAATTGCAGGGTGTGGTCCTGGTTCATCGGCAGATAGGACTAGAACTTCAGTGGTTAGTGGATTAGGGAAGAAACTCAAAGATATGATGGATGATTTTCAAGGTTTGAGATCTAGAATGCAAATGGAGTATAAGGAAACAGTTGAAAGAAGGTATTTTACAATAACAGGAGAGAGGGCAGATGATGAAACTATAGATAATTTGATAGCAAGTGGAGAGAGTGAAAATTTTATGCAAAGGGCAATTCAAGAACAAGGTAGAGGCCAAATAATGGACACAATAATAGAAATTCAAGAAAGACATGATGCTGTTAAAGAAATAGAGAAGAATCTGATTGAGTTGCATCAAGTATTTTTGGATATGGCTGCTTTGGTAGAGTCTCAAGGGCAACAACTTAATAACATTGAGAGTCATGTTGCACATGCTAGTTCTTTTGTGAGAAGAGGGACAGAACAACTTCAAGAAGCTAAAGTGCAACAAAAGAGTTCTAGGAAGTTCACAATGTATGCAATAATTCTTAGTATTATTTTAGTTCTTGTGATTCTATTTCCTCTTTTCTCAACACTTTTTCCTCATTTGTTTAGATGAAGGGGTGGGATACAAAACAAGACTTGTAATTGAATGTGGGTGATTGGACATTAATCATTAGTGTTTTAATTTCTATATACTTGAAGATTGAGATGGTTCGTTGGTACATTTTCAAAATTATTAGACATTTGAATTAATTTCTTCCCTTTTTTCTATTATCTTTTTGCAATTAATTTTTTTTATTATATTCAAATATTAAATGATTGAATTCAAATGGTTAATGAACTAAATATGAATTATTCAAATTTGAATTTTAGAGCAAACAACTCTAGTTACAATGTATTTATTTTTCAGCCAAACTTCAAATCACCGTTGCAAATCAAAAGATTAAAAAGAAATTTAGTGTATGCGTGCACAATAATACAAAAAGAATATTATAAGAAAAATTTAAATAAAAAATTGTATGATCGTATAATTAAATCAATAATATATTTTTAGCTAGTATTTATTCATTATGGAAATAGTATTAACTTTTAACTAAATTTATTGGTTAATCATAAATTAGGTTAGTTGCAAAAGACTATAAATAATAATTTACATATTCAACATCCTCTTTTTTTATTTTTTACATTTCACGATATCTTCTTCGTTCTCTTTCTTTCACCTAATAATTCAACATTCATTTAACTTTTACTCACTACAATGATTTTGTTTAATGAAATTCAACACCCTACCCTACTACTTTTGTTTCATATTCTTATTTCCTTTTATGTTTTTTGTTTAATAAAGTTGATTTTTTTGTGTCCAAATCAAATGAATCAAGTCTCCATAGACAAAAAAAATGATGAATTTTGGTGAAAAAAAATTTACTATGAAATAATTGACCCCAAATAATTATGATGAGATAAAAATTTAAAAAATCACAGCAGCCAATAAGATTTTGCCAAGTATTTTCGTAGCTCTCACTCCCTCCTCATTCAACCTATTGAATCTTTTTAACACCAATTAATCCATCTCACTTTCAACACTCCATTCAACACCCCATTGCAACTATTTAACTACTTAATTATTTTTTCAACAACCCCGTTGTAAATGGTCTAAAGGATTATAAGTTTGTTATTATTCATTTAGAGTTTTCTATTATGGGTTAAGTATTTAAATTATCATCGATATTAGGGGTAGAAATAGGCTAGGGTAGACTAGACTTTATAAGGCCCGAGTTTGGCCTACGATAAACTTACAAGGCTTGAGTTTGGCTTATGACCTACTACAGGCTCATTTTTTTGGCATGACCTAAAGCCTATTTAAAAGCCTGTTTCTCATTAAGATTTTCAATAAATACATATTACTTAAGAAGCCTTATAGGTCGACCTATATAATCATATATATGTCGACTTATTTAACATTTTTCTAATATATATATATATATATATATATATATATATATATATATATATATATATATATATATATATATATATATATATATATATATATATATATATATATATATATATATATATATATATATATATAGGTCGGCCTATAATTATCTCTTAGCTCATACTTCCTTTTGAAGATCTCAAGTGTCAAAAGTTAGATATAGGTGTTGCGAACATGCTCCCCAAATTTCAGCTCGATCTGATGGCTAACGAATTAGGGATTGTCGATTTAGTGAGACTGGTGCATAAAAAACAAGAATGAGTTTTTCTCTCTTTTGAATCCTTATTTCCTCTCTATTTTTTCTCAATTCTAAATTGACACTCTCCACTTAAATAAGTGAGACAAATGGGCTATTCATATTTAGGTCTTTCTCCATATAGGAAGAGAACCCAAACCCAACAACAATAACATTTGATACAGTTCCTCATTACACAATTATATTGCTTCTTCGAGTTTCTTTTTGAAGTTATCTAAAATTTCTATTTTGGTTGTGATAGATTAAACTAATACTACACTAGGATCTAGGGTTGCATAAGAAGAGATAACATAAGAAACAACTTTGATTTTTCCTATCCTTTCATCAGCCAACATTAGAACTTAAATAATAGTAGGATTTAACATACTAATGGGCCAAGGCCTCTTGGAATAAAAGACACGACTAAATAATATTAATGTTTAGAGAAAAATACTAATACACCTCAATTAATTCAAACAAAATTATCCAACCAGTTGGGCCTTTTAATATTTCGTTTGGGCTTGAAAGTGGGTATGTTGTTGCACCCCAAAATTTACCCTATGAATTTCACAATTGACTGATGCTTCATATTCATTTTCATTAAGAACCATAATCATTCATATCATTGGTTCCTAAAAATCATGTAATCACAACCTCCTTGTAATTAGGGTTTTGAGAAGAAAAGACTTATCTTTTAGAGGATTGAATCATCATGATCATCTCTATCAAAGCACAAGGATTATCATGATCTTCAAAAGGTGTTAGGGTTTCATCATTGGTTCATCAATTGATTGAAAGTGAACTAGGGTTTTGGCACTCATTAGTGAAAGTTAGGAATTATGGTTTTGAGGGTTAACCTTCAAGGATACCCCATTCAAAGAATCATCAATAATATCATCTCTTGGTCTTCAAAGCATATCAAATACATCATAATCACAAGATTTCATTGGCTGTAGAGGATTTGAATTCATTTGATGAAAAGTCAACTACAAAGTCAAAGCTTTGACTTTTGGAATTTTTGGTCAACCATGGGTTTCTCAAGCCAAGGATCTTGGAAATTTGATTGATAAAATCATTTGATCAAGTTTAATCAAGGAAATCAAAAAGAAGAATCAAAGATGAAAAATTAGGGTTTTGAAATTTTCACTAAGTCATTAAAGTTCTCATGTTCAAATGCACTACTTTGCAAGCTTGTAACTTCATCATCAAGCCACCATTTTCTTGCTCCAATGATCAGATTGAATATAATGTTTCATACTACAACTTTTTCATAGGGGGTGATCTCCAAAAAATACATGGATAAGGAGATATGAGCTCATAAAGTCATGACTCCTTTAGCCAACACTTGGAGAAAATTCTCAAGTGTTTATGACCTTGTAAAGTAAATGACTTTGTGGCCATTTTTCACTGAGATCCTAATTGATTCAATGAAATTGGTCAACATAAAAGTTGAGGAGGACGTTTTAAGCTTTCCAAAAAGTCAAAGAGTATGAAAAAATGATGGTTGATCTAGGAGAATCGAAGATATGAACATGGCCTCTCATAAGCTAAAATTCAAAGTCATTTTGCCATGACCAACTTCTTTGTACACGAGCCTAATAAGCAAAGAGATCACACTTTTCAGGTCATTTGGCTTGTAAATTTTACCATAATCAAGTGTTTATATAATAATTGATGCATTATCCAAGTGTTCCAAGCTTTGTCCAAGAACCATGCCATTTTGAGAAGAAACACACCACTTTCATTTTGATAAAGATGACTTTTATCACAATGTCAACTCCTTAAGCCCATACAATGTTTCCCTCTGATTACACTCAATGCTAAAACAGAGAAGCAATGTCCCTGAAGTATCCAACCACTTCAAAAGCTATGGTGCTATGCCTTGGAACTACCATCTTCAAGAAACTTGATTTTTCCATCTCAACCAAACCAAAACTCTACCACTTGCAGTTCTGACCAACTCATTACCTCTGAGTTTTCCTTATAAATAGGATACCCCAATGCATTTTAAACACACCTTGAACATGTAACACCCTGAATTCTAGATTAATTATTTAATTGATTAATTTAGCATGATTATATGAGTCAGTGTGAAGTGTTTGATGTCTTGATGATTATATGTGATCCTTTATAGTGATTTGTGATATTGTAATGAATATGAAGTGTACCATGATGATTAAGATAAATATGATGTTTGATTATGATATTTGGATGACTATGATATATGATGGGTTTCTATGTGTAGCATAGTGGAAATTAGACTAATTAAGAGAATTATTAGTATTTTGGAATAATTAGAGTAATTATTTGGAATTATTTTAATTAAGATAAATAGAATAACAAAAGTGTAGAGAAAATAAGGTCAATGTGGTAATTTGTGGAGAATAAGTAAGGACAAGGTGGGAAGTTTGATATTAGGGGTCTAAAGGTTATACAAAGAATTAGGGGGAAATAAAGTCATTGTGGAACGATCGTAGGATTGGGAGAAAGAAACTGACATTGTGGAGAAAGGAGGCTAGGGTACAAAGAGGCAAGAGATTTTGGTAGAGAACCAAAGAGAAGTTAAATTACTTCTATAATCAAAGGTAAGGGGATTTTTATCATTGTTATTATATTTGATTTAAGGTTTAGATGATTGGTGGATTGCCTTAGGTTTTGGTAGATGATGATTTGGTGTTGTTTGATGAGAAATTGATGAATTGGTGATGAATAATGGTGTATAATTGATGTATATTGAGTATAGAATTACAGTTTATCGATAGATGATGAAACTCTGTGATTAGATGGTGTTTTAGGACATGTAACATGATTTGAACTGGTTTATGCAAGAAATCACAACAGGAAAATCAATAAGACATCACTTCACTATATATCAAGGAGTATTTGCATAATCTCAAAGTGGAAGACATAGTCTTGGATTTAAAATCAACAAAACATCACTCAACACCCAAGTGGAAAATGGCTCACTTTACTACATATCATAGATTAGCAGCTTGCATCACTATAAGAATCAACAAGAGTCTAGTCATTTGAGAAAAGTTTTTAAAGTAAACAGCCAAAGTGGCAAAAAGGATTTGAGTGAGGTTAATGACTTTTTGTCTTAAAAAATATGTCAAAGTATGATTAAATTGATTAAAGGTTTAATTAAGAAAAATGATTTTGAAAATGCATGGACCTAAGTCCAAATTTTATTATGAAAGTGGTTCAAGTTTGAAAAAATGATAAGAGTTTTGAAAAAGAGGGAGAAAATTTTAAAATTAAAGAAGATACGAGGAGATGAAGAGACTATCATATGTACACAAGGTAAAAGCTAAGGAAAAGAACAATCTAACCAATAAGAAGCTAACACTTGGCATAAAGAAGTAAATTTAGAATTCATGTC